TGCTGCTGCTGCTGCTGCTGCATCCGAGTTCCTACTGCTACGAGCAGCAGCACCAACAGCACCACAGTCGCAAGCACTCCTGCTCGCATTGCAGCAACGCATTTCAACAATGCATGAGCACAACAAGCAAACACAGTTGAGTTAAACTCCGCCTTCAGCGGCACGCCGCCGCTGGAGCTGCTGGCATGCTTTGCGCTGGGCTCGCTCTCCCGTTTCTGGGCGCAGGGACATTATGCAGCGCAAGCCCAGAACTAAGGCTTGAAATTAGTTTCCTAGGCCCTCCCGAACTGATGCGAGCAAGCCGTCTGTCAAGACTTGCTATAGAGCACATTGTCTGCCCCATGCCGTCAAGATTTAGACCCATCTCAGGAGGCCGCAACGGGATCCTCGCCGACGGCGTCGTGGGTGGCCAGACCCCTGGCTTGAACCGCGTTCATTCGCGTTGGGTTCGAGGCTTGGGACTATATGGGCTGTCGGCTCAGGTCGGGCGAAAGCTGGAGTGAAGAACAAACTCCGGTGCACATGGCGCAGCGCACCCGACGTCACTGCAATGCCAGCACCGAGCGCCTGACAGGGGAACAGGCCATGATTTCTGCAACTGAAGAGTTTTTGGTCGGGGAACCTGATCTCAACAAGTTCCAGATAGAAGCAGCCCTGTCTTTTGTTTTCGTGCTCAAGGGCTAACGGCCCCAAGCAAGGCCGGCCTGATTGGGAGCCGCCCATGGCAAACCATGGAGCTTCAGAAGGCAGGGGCGCAACCCCAACTGTTTGATGACGCCGAGGCTGGAAAAACTATGTCTCTACTGCAAACCTAATGTAACGGTTTGAGTTGCTGCATGAGAGTTGCACAAGGCCGCCCCCGAAAAAAATGCAAAAGCGGAGGACTACAAGTTGCTTGCTGCTTCAAGGGTTGCACGTCTGCTTCCTGCTGGGCAAACGGAGAGCGAGAAGCAGCGAGGTTTGTCCTCAGTTCACAGAAGTGAGTCCATTGAGGCTTTCAAGAACCGTACACTGACTGCATGACTGCATGCAAGGTCTCATGTTTTATAAGGTTCATGTCTCCCACTAACTCCAAGGTGACATTGAAGAGAGAGTGAGGGTGCAGCTCTGGTGCATGTCCTTTGATTTACGGGACAGCGGCCCTGTTCCCCACGGCCTAAATGACAAAATCCTACACTCCGAACTTTTGTTCGGGATTTCATCGGCATGCTACGAGGAACCATTAAATCTAATAAATGAATGCCTCCCTCCCGAAGGCACGTGGTGTAGGCCGAATGGAGGGGCTCGGCCTCCTGGCGGCCCCGTTCCTGCAGGCACAGCAGCCATCGGACAACCACTATTCTTCTGTCACTTATACCCTGCACTTCAAGATTCTTGGGTTTGGGGCATCTGGTCCTGAGACTTTTGGGGGGTTTTCAAAGACAACTCAGGCTGAAAGACATTGTGGAGCGCAAGGGACTTCTTGCAACGTCTACACTTGGAATCACGATGGCAATGAATGCCGCTAGCATCCGGCTAGCAAGAACATCGTCGACTGCTACATTAGGCGAACTCTCTTTCTCCGTTCTGTGGGGCCAGGGGTCAGCCGAGCGGCCTCCATGCTGTAAGCGGACCTTGTGAAACGACCAACCTCACTCTCTCTCTTGCCGGGCCAGTTTCTTGCTGCTACTGCTGCTGGTGCTCCTCCTTGTTTTCTTGCTTCCTCTTCCTCCTCCGCAGTCTGACCACCGCCACCACCTCAACGGCTGCTGTAGTTGTTGCTGCCGCACAGCGGCAATGTGCCGCAGCAAATGTGAGCATGGGGAGTCCTCCGCTTCGCTGCTTCGCGAATTGGCCGCAGCCAGGGCCTTGACAAAAAGTCTGTAAGAAATGCATCCCGACTGTAGTCAAGATAGGGTGGTTGATGACCAACAGATCAGCACGGACAAAATCTATGCAGCTGCTCAGCATTGCCAGCCTTACTTGCACTGTCAACGGATATTCCTTGTTGCGATTGGTTCGATGACCTCCGTCGTTCGCCGACAGCTGCGTCGCAAAGCCTGCAAGTCCAAAGGAAAAAGACGGATTTCTCAGAGCTACCAGTCCGCTTTGTTGCGTCACAAACCCGATGAAAGAGACAATGGATTCGCAGCAAGGCGCTTGCAGGCTAGTGAGAGGAAGCTGCTTTGGCCAGTGAGGAGGTGAAAGGCTGCAGCCCGATCTGTCGCGAGAATTTCCCGCCCGACCTNNCCCCCCCCCCCCCCCCCACCCCCACCACGAGTTCGACTCGAAAGCATGGAGAAACTTACTGATCCGCTGCGCACCTCGTTCTCATCGCGGGCTTGCTCAAGGCATCGCCTGGCCTTGGCAGTCTTGCAGGATGCCAAGGGGCTTCACGGTCGTCTTGAAGAGGTGTCGCCGGTGTGGCAGTCACATGTGATCGTCAGGCCAAGGGAAATACTGTGCCCTGCAAGTTTCAAGCTACTGTGCATGCTGTGCAGACATGGCCTTACCCCTTCATGTTTCTAAGATTTTCTAAGCATCCCTGCTGCGATAGCCTCTGCTGCGTACTTTTGCTGGTCTGCCAGGGCCTTGGCCAGCCTTCTGCAGGGCCGGCAAGGACTTGTCTGTTCGTCACTTTGCGACACCGAACCTGCCTCTGACTGTCACCCGGTGCATCACTGCTCTTCGCCTGCTTCAGTCACAGTTTTGCGTAGCATAGCACCGGCAAAAACCGTTCGGCAGCGACTTGTAAGTCGAGGTTTTGAACATCCGATCCAGCACACATCCAACTGTGCCTCCTGTCTGGCTGCTCTTGGCGGACCAAAGTCGCGGCCTCTCAAAGATACCCGGGTCTGGCAGGACCAACGAGCCGCAGATTTTGAAACTTAGTGCTACTCAGAACATGACTCGAGAGCTGATGTAGACGAGGCGGAACAGCAGTGACTCTGAACGAGACCCAGCGCCGTCAAGAAGAGAGCTCTCTGGTCAATAAGATCGTAACAATACTTATGCCAAATTTCGGGTCAAGAAAATGACAGTTCACTGTTGAAGGGGGCAGCACTGCAACACTTAACACAAAACTCAACCGACATACACCAAGTGAACTGCATACAGCTCTTCTCTTGGGATGCCTGCGCATTCACTCCAAAAGAAACTGGTTGAGGCATCGCTTGTTCGCAGATCCCAACTCAATCAACACTTCAGGTTTTGAGGGTTGCATGTTATGGTCCAAATATGGCGCGATGCTGGCACTGT